GGCGGTGTTATGCAAATCTTCCCACACAGTGACGTAGACATGTGGGGGCGTGTTTGAACGAGGCGTTTTAGGGGGGCGTGGACGAGTCTTAACTTTTATAAAGAATATCTCTTTGGGTTTGAGACTTTAGTCTTTGCAACTTTAGGGATCTTATCTATGCACGAACAGCTTGTAACATTCCAAAGGAAAACTTGAAATTGCATCATATGACCCCTTTAATCTGACAGAGGCTTTATAACAATGGAAGCAGTAGTCCCATCACATCAGAGGTTCAACAACAAAACTTAGATGCACACACAGGGTTTTTGTATGAGTGTGAGTGTTCAGTCACAGTGGGCTGCAGAGCATAGTATACAGCAGAGTCAGATATACATGGATCCTTGATTGTCAGTAGAAATAATTTTGAAATTCTGTTGAGATTGCTGCTAAATCTTTCCTTGAACTGCATGCTGAATTTGCTCAGCATGTATTCCGGAAATCCATTTGCTTTTTGCTGGTACCACAAGAGATTTGCCAACATATCAGTGGTTTCATATTGACAGTTGATTGTTACAGCTGCTCCTTCAACAGCATTTTGAACTTTCCAGAGAACCACATCCTGTAATGAAATGCAAAACATCACTGGTGAAGATCTCATATTCATTTTAGAAGAATATTGTATATTTTTACCCCATAATATGTGATACAGATGACTACAATTCTTTGCCAGTTTGCCATCACAATAATTGTTAAAATAATAATTTAGATAAAATGAACTCTACATTAAAACCTACAGCAGACTCTTGTTTCAGCCTCTTTTTGATAAAGTTGTTGTAACACTGTCACATATGCAAAGACCTGCAGGAGGAGTCTGACTGCACAGAATCTAAACACACACAGTGTGACTGTCTCCTCCTCCTGAAGGATTCTGGGTGTATTTTGAAAAAAATTAAATGTTCTGTGTTTGTTTTATAAGTCTTTTCACATATGTTGGTTCAGACACTGACCCCTTATTTCAATCTGATGAACAAAACCAATTCTGGAATTTGGAGCACTTGATATTGTTATTGTACTTTGGTATACTATTAGAAAAAGCTATAAAAAACAGACATATACAGTAATGTTGATATTATTCTCAACTGCTATAGTACATTGTTCCTATTATTGATTCATTATAGTTATGCATTTTTCATCAGTGTCAGAGAGTTGTGTTTTTGTGTGAGTGTTTCAGTCACTGTGGGCCTCAGAGCACAGTAGTACACAGCAGAGTCAGACACACACACATCCCTGATTGTCAGAGGAACTCTTCCTACTGTGGAGTCCAGTTTTGTGTGAAATCTCTCCTTAAATTCAGGCTGCATAGTTCCTTGGAAAAGTCACTCAGAATGAATGTCGGTGATCTGTTTGGCAGTTGTTTGTACCAGTAGATATAAGCATTTGCAGCACTCATGAGGGTGTAATTAATTACACAATAAAATTACTTGATTTCCCTCAGCAGAAGTCTTTACTCTTAAAGGCTGATCGACACTGTCCTGTCCCCAGCACACTGGAAAGGATCGGACATGAATTAACAATCAGATATTAAGTAACTCAAGATATTAAGATATTGAGTAACTCAAGTGTTAAAGATGAAAGACTCTTCTTACCAAAATCATGTGCTGTGAAGAAAACCGTAATAATCAGCCATTTTGCCATCGTTGCTCTGAGTTGAAGAGAGTGAGAGTCAGACAACTGATGTGAGTCTCTACTTTATAGCAGATCTCACTGTCCTTAGTAGCTTCTCTTGATGTTTTCAGCAACTGCGATGGCGGCGACGCTGATGGCTGCCTCCGTGGCGTGCTCCGCAGTTGTTTTTATGTTTTTGTTAGTTTGTCCTGTCTTTAGTTATATCCCTGCAATCAGTTTCACCAGAGATGAATTGCTGGACATTCGGCAGTACACACCACCCGATATTTCACCGGTTTTCGATTATTCTGATGTTTTGCTGGACACTGTAGTCGGGGGAGCTGCGGTGCTGATCAAGCGCTTCAGGACGCACAGACGGGGGAAGTGAGCCGGCGCGCTCGTGAAGCTCAGGCAGCGCAGATTCAGGACGCCGTTGCCTAGCATCCATCTGGCGAACCTCCGCTCTCTACCCAACAAAACGGACGA